CTGATCTGAGGGATTAGAGTTAGTTTTTGTTAGGTAGACATGTTCGGGGTACAGTTGTCAAGTTGTCCTTCTAGATGACACTCGATTTCTGCATAACATTGATGGTAAAATGACCAGTATCAAGTTCTGACAGAATTAAGTTCACCCTTACCTAAAGGAAATGGACCTGACTTCAGTGCCCACAATAAAAAAAATGACAATAAAGGATCTATCTATCTATCTATCTATCTATCTATCTATCTATCTATCTATCTATCTATCTTCATACATACACACACACACACACATACACACACGCACCACACACACACACAGGTATGTGTGTATGTATGTGTGTGTGCATAACACTTTTTTTTTTGGAGTTTCAAGATAATCATATTCCACTGCTTGAATGACCTGGGAATAGTCCAGACCTTAACCCAATCTATGGAGTCGACTAAAAAAACTTGTTAGTCAGAAGCGACCCAGCAATAAAACCCAATAGAAGCAATCATTCAATCTTGGTTTCACATTATAACAGCTGCAGAACTAAAAGACTTGGTTCACTCCATGGGAAGACTTAAGGCCGTAATTCATGCTAAAGGTTACCTAACTATTAACTGACATGATAATGTTTGTATATCTCGTTTTTTCTATGGTGATAATTTCTGTAAATCTTTTTTCTACGTGTTTCACTTTTCTTCTTTATACTGTAACTGCTATTCTAATAGCAAATCATAAAAGTTATTGCATTACATTCTTGATTAAATTATCTTTCCATTGATATAGAATTTTATGGTACTACTCAAAAAAAAAAAAATGGTGTTATTAGCTAGTTTTAGAAAATACACTTTTCCCAAAAGGTTTCCACAATTTTGCCCACAACTTTATATATATTTAAATCTCTGTCCATCTTGAATACATATCAGAAAGAGGAAGTTGAGAGTTCACAAGGTTGATACTATATGGAACAAAATTGTGACCGAATCTGTTCTGCTTCAGATATCACAAAGCTGCCTCCCAGAAAGTAACAAGGAAACAGGTTTTGAAGAGAATGTGTAGTGTTATAGAAAATACTGCAGATTCTGGTCAAGCATCACTTAAATGCTATAGCCTGGATAACCGGAAGTGAACTGTCAATAATTTCTGCATTCCTCATGACTGGACTGCCTTCCTTTTCCGAAGCAGTAATGCTTCCAAACCAGACTAATGCAATGACAGATGCTCTCGATCATCCTTCCATAGAAAGTGGTGCAATTCAAAGTGCTTTAAAGCCCTACATGGCACAGGACTAGGTTATTTGCTGGCACACCTCTCCCTAAGAATCTGCCTGTCCCACTAGAATAAGCATACTCCAGATCTCTTCCCTGAAATCCTCTCACTAGTGGGATCTTGTGACTGCCCCTATTTTATAGAATATGCTTCCCCATGTTTGGTGATTTGGAAGATACGGCTTTTTATTGAAGCAGTGTGATAGAATGGAATGGAATAAAAGGAATGGAATGGAATGGAATGAAGGTAATTGGAGCTTGCTGCCGGCATCCTAAGGAGCTGCAATAGAAACCACAATCCATTTCTTGTTATATTTCCAGTTATACAAAGACTTTTATTTGCAATAGATCTTCATGCTCATCTTTAAATGCGGAAAGCATTCTGGCTTATTTATGCTACCTATTAGGCAATTTTAAAAAATTCTATATCCATTAAAAATTGCTATGTTTTGTAAACTTCACCATACTACAAGCTGTGACTGTCAATGGTTGCACAAGTTTATTATGGAGATCTTAGGTTCATGGCTTCTACTAGAGAGCAGATGGAAGTCATGTGCAAGAGAAGCTTTCCACTTAGCTTACCAGTTGCTTTTGGTAAGCCTTTGGAGACTGGAGGAACAGAGGGTTCAAATTACAAGGATATTTTTCCTAGTAAGGGAATGGAAACTGCTGTCTGATAAGTATTGGGTTATTTAGATGTTTACATATTCATTTGATATTTGTTATTTAAGTTGGCACTGTCTTGTACTGAATTGAACTGAATTGTCGAAACTGATTATAATCCACCTGATCCACTATAGTAGGTAGGCAGGGAATGCTAGGGGTTCCCTTTCCTAAGAAGGTCCATTTAACAGGACCAAGTAGAAGCGCCTTCTCGGTGATGGCTCCCTCTTTGTTGAACATTATTACCTTGGAGATAAGATTGCCCCTCACTTAGACATTCTTTCACAAAATGCTGAAACATGGTTTTCCCAATGGTCTTGAGAACCTCAGAATGGGATGGAGCCCATCATATTATTAAATTGTTGTCACCAGAGAGTTGGGGGCATTATTTCTTCTTCATTGTTTTTGTATTGGGCTTTTATATTTGTAAGCTTCCTGGAGTCACTGAATAAATTGGGTGGCTGTATACATTTTCTTAAATCAATAAAAATAAATAAATGAAAGCAGCATAAAAGTCATATTAATACATATATATTTTAAATAAAATTGCTACTTCATATGTCTTGAAAAAAATTACATGTGAATTAATTTACCTTAACTGATAAGAGTATCATTTGTTTTGATATGATTTATATTAGTTACTATGATAGAGTATCATAGTAACTAATATAAATAATATCAAAACAAATGGATTGCTTTTGCTTAAGAGAATAATTCTTTAATTTATTGAACATTTTATCATTGTTTTATCTGGAAAGAAAAAACTAAAATATCTACAAAATATAATAAAATCTAACTGCAACTACAAAGTACTTTTCTAGTCTTATTGCATCATCAGATAATCGCCCAGCCGCCCTGTTTAGGGTGACCCGCTCTCTGCTCCATCAAGAGACACGGGAAGACCCCTTGGAGGGTAGAGCTGAGGATTTTGTACAATATCTGTATGACAAAATTGCTCAGATTCGTGAACAGCTAGACTGACTGGATTGATCCAGAGATGACAGGGGCAGGTCCTGAGAATATTATTTGGGAAGAGTTTGATCCTGTGACTCCCGAAAGCGTGGACAGGATACTGAACAGACTAAATGCGACCACATGTTTATTGGACCCGTGTCCATCCTGGTTGGTACTGGCCTCCCGGGAGGTGACGCGAGGCTGGCTCCAGGAGATTATAAATGCTTCTTTGAGTGAGGGTGTCTTTCCCACCGTCTTGAAAGAGGCGGTGGTGAGGCCCCTCCTCAAGAAGCCCTCCCTGGATCCAGCTGTATTAGCAATTTATCGTCCTGTCTCCAACCTTCGCTTTGTTGCAAAGGTTGTTGAGAGTGTGATTGCACGACAACTGCCTCAGTACCTGGATGAATCGAATTATCTAGATCCGTTCCAGTCGGGATTCAGGCCCGGGTACAGCACAGAGACAGCATTGGTCGCATTGGTTGATGATCTCTGGAGGGCTCGGGACAGGGGTTGCTCCTCTGTCCTGGTCCTACTAGACCTCTCAGCGGCTTTTGATACCATCGATCATGATATCATGCTGCACCGGTTGGAAGGGTTGGGGGTGGGGGGGCACTGTTCTACAGTGGTTCTCCTCCTTTCTCTCTGACCGGTCGCAGTCTGTGTTGACAGGGGGGCAGAGGTCGACCCCGAGGCCCCTTATATGTGGGGTGCCACAAGGATCGGTCCTCTCGCCCCTTCTATTCAACATTTATGTGAAGCCGCTGGGTGAGATCATCCGTGGTTTTGGGGTGAAGTACCATCAGTACGCTGATGACACCCAGCTGTACATCTCCACCCCAGACCACCCCAATGATGCCCTCGAGGTGATGTCCCGGTGCCTGGAGGCCGTACAGATCTGGATGGGGAGGAACAAACTCAGACTCAACCCATCCAAGACCGAGTGGCTGTGGTTTCCGTCGTCCCGATATAGTCAGTTGGCGCCATCTCTGACTATTGGGGGCGAGTTGTTGGCCCCCACAGATGGGGTTCGCAACTTGGGCATCCTCCTGGACTCATGGCTGTCTTTTGAAGAGCATATGACGGCCGTAGCCAGGAGGACTTTTTATCAGGTTCGCCTGATTCGCCAGTTGCATCCCTTTCTGGATCGGGACTTGTTACGCACGGTCACTCACGCCCTTGTCACCTCACGCCTGGATTATTGTAATGCTCTCTACATGGGGCTCCCCTTGAGAAGCACCCGAAGGCTCCAACTGGTCCAGAATGCGGCCGCGCGGGTGGTGATGGGAGCAATGTGGCGCTCTCATGTAACCCCCCTCCTGCGCGAGCTGCACTGGCTCCCAGTGGTCTTCCGGGTGCGCTTCAAGGTTTTGGTTACTATCTTTAGAGCGCGCCATGGCTCAGGACCAGGGTACTTACGAGACCGCCTCCTGCCACCAATAGCTTCTCACCGACCAGTTCGCTCCCATAGAGAGGGACTCCTCAGGGTGCCGTCGGCCAAACAATGTCGACTGATGGCCCCCAGGGGGAGAGCCTTTTCTGTGGGGGCACCTACCATCTGGAACGGGCTTCCCCCGGAGTTACGAAACATCCAAGACTTACGCATATTCCGCCGTGCCCTGAAAACATTTCTATTCCAACAAGCTGGTCTGGCCTAACTCTCCCTTTTTAATTGGCTTTTAAACTGGCTTTTAAATTGGGTTTTAAACCTCTTTAGATAAATTTGGATGTTTTTAATCTTTGAGCCTAAATTACTTAATCTGTTTTTTAATAGTTTTTAACTTCTATATGTATTTGTATTTATTATGGCTGTTCACCGCCCTGAGTCCTGCGGGAGTAGGGCGGTATACGAATATGAAAAATAAAAATAAATAATAAAATAATAAACAAGCATAAAACATTTACTTTAGATGAAAAATATCCATTCCTTAATATACACGCTGTCTTGTCAGAATAGAACAATCTGATTTGAATATAATTGTTATTCTTGTTATGTGTCTTGATTACAATCTGTCTGACAATGTAGAAAATTAAGCAGACTTTTCCTGAATTGTTTTATCTGGTACTAATACTTGCATTTTTTTACAGTAGCATATTATTTTTTGTATCGTTAATACAAATAAAACCATGAATACATTTTGGACAACAAACATTTTATTTATATAATTTATTTATTTTTTCTGTTTTATCACACAGTAGCATCACTTAGGACCCAGCATATTTTCTGGCTTTACCCATTGATCAAATTCTTCTGCTGTAAGAAATCCAAGTTTGATAGCAGTTGCTTTTAATGTCATCCCTTCTTTATGTGCAGTTTTGGCAATCTTGGCTGCTTTGTCATACCCTAACAAAAAGGAAAAATATGTAATGTAAGGTTGATTCTGTATTTTGGACCACTAAGTGGTCAAGTCACCCAAGGCAACCAACTTACAATCATTCATTTAAAGACTGTTTGACTTTATAATGGCACTGAAAAACGTGATTTATGACCATTTTACACACTGTTGTAGCATCCCCATGATCAAAATTTGGACACTTTGCAATTGCATGTACTTATGATGATTGCAGTGTCCTAGGGTCATGTTTCCCTGATGAAAAAATTGAGTTAACTCTTTTTTTCTCCATTTATCAAGGGACATTACAACTTCATTAGAAAGAAAATAAATTTGACTATTATTTGCATTTCCAAAAAAACCCCCCAAGAATATTGCCTATTTCTTCTTAGAATATTTATAAGAGTAATAGCTTTGAAGACACATTTGCATACACCTGTGTCTATACATGCATGTCCGCATGCTTACACACACACATGAATCATGATTTTATACAATACAAGAAATAAAATCTGCAGTTGAGCATTACAGTTGAAAGGAAGTGTTGGAAGAAATACCCAGCTGGTTCAGTTCCAAGTGGGGAGAAAGGCACTGGAAACAGGGAGACTAATTGGAAAGATGAACCATTAAACCATGAAGCAGAACCATTAAACACATGGTCCTGGTGCAGATGAACACATGGAGTGGAGAGTGAGGGTTATTTATACCCTCTCTGGGCTTTGAACGTGAGCTTCCTGTTCCTGAAGCAAGAGTGTGCATTCTATTGGTTGCTGTCGGGGGCATAGCTAATTTTGTAGGTTATCTGAGTCAAGTTTTATTGAAGCTTGCTGATGCAATGAAGAGGCTTGTTGGCAATTCCTATTATGGCTGAATAGCTTTGCACTGAAGAATAATCCCATCTACCTGGAGCTGAAGGTTTTTTGTTTAGTAGATAGGCTGGCCCAGTCTTAATGGGTACCAAATATCTGCTGGGGGCAGGAAGCGCAAGGTCTGAGTTTCTGTCTCCCTTAAGATTTCCATTTCTCTTCTAGGGGAACTATAATATTCTGCCTTTTTAAATATTTCTCAAAATATTTCATTCTTCTAGGAGGGATGACTTCCCTCAGAAGGAAGCATAGAAATCTATGTAGTTGTTTTTTTCTTCCACAGGTTTTTGGACAACAAGATCTGCGATACTATCATTTCTGCTCTCCCCACCTCTACCCCCAGCCACTTCAGTAAATATCAGCAACTGCCTGTGAGAATGCTACAGCTATATTATAGTTTTCAATACTATTTTATTTTTGATTACACTGGTTTACATTGCTTATCAATACTCTAGGACATGTGTGTGAAACTTGCCATGTCACATTGCTGTCACGTGATGTTTCATGACATTTTTCATATTTATTAGATACTTACCAATGTGGGGATTAAGGGCAGTCACCAACATTAATGATTCATTCATTAACTTATTTATTCTTTCTGTATTCGCTTCTATTCCAATTACACAATTTTCAGTGAAAGAGACACAGGCATCTCCTAAGAGCTGTGCAGAATGTAGCACATTTCTAATCTAAATAAATTAAAAATAATTAATAATTTAACAAAAATTGTTCATTGATTAACAAGAGCTTTATCATAATTACAATAGGACATCAAAGATAAATATTTATATGATAAAATAACAGGCCCATTTGATATTGTAAACAACAGCTTCCCTACTTCTTGATAAAATCAACTGCATTCAGTTTATGGTCCTCAATAGAATTACATTTACATGGAGTTGTATGCAGTGGGTTCCCCAAGGTTTGTCTTGGGCCCAATGCTCTTCAACATCTTCATAAATAACCTAGATAAGCAAATTGAAGGAGCCCTCATCAAATTTGCAGATGACACATATTTCAGGAAGCACTTTGAAAAACAGATTCAAAATTCAGAAGGATTTTGGTACACTTGAGCATTGGGCCCTACCCAACAAGATGCAGTTTAGTGGAAAGAAAACCAAGATCCCATACTTAATCAGGAAAAAAACATGTGCAGATACAGGACAAAAATATAATAAAAAGTTAAAGCAGTCCTGGGCTGCATCAGCAGAGGGATAGTGTCAAGATCAAGGTAATGATAGAATTGCTATGTCCTGTATTGGCGAGACCACATTTGAAATACATATTCAGTTCTGGTCATCACAACACAAAAAAGATCCTAGGCCCTAGAAAAAGTATAGAGAAGAGCAATACAGATGATCTTTGATCTGGAGGCTAAATCCTATGAAGAATGGCTAGGTATGTTTAGCTCACAAGAGAAGATTAAGAAGAGACATAATAGCAGTTTTCCAATAGAACAATTGTCACAGGGAAGAGTATCTCAATTTATTCTCCAAAGCACTGAGGGTAGGACAAGAACAATGGTTTGAAGCTCATCAGAGGAAAATCCAACAAGAAGTAAGTAAGGAAAAATTCCCTGACATTAAAAACTATTAAGCAATGGAACAGCTTGCTTCCTAGTGTTGTGGATGCTTTATTGCTGGATGTTTTCAAGAAAGGTTTGGACAAACATTTGTCCAAGATGGTTTGGGGACTCCTGCCTTGGGTAGAAGGCTGAATTAAAATATGTCCAAGGTCCCTTCTAATCCTATAATTCGATGCTTTAAGATTTGCTTTGGGGAAGGAGGGAGCATTCATATGTTTTAAAATACTAATGGCATATATATGATTACTAGACAAAAGGTTATAAATCAGGAACTACCTGTATTCCTATACGGCATTGAACAAATATAAGCCAGTAACAGAAAGCCATCAAATTGAACCTGGATTGCTAAGGAAAGAAAGGCAATGAGATTTCCCCTGCCTTAACTAAAGATTATAGATTTCTTACTGCTAAACGAGTAAAAAGCCAACATTCTTTAAACAGCACAAGAGTAAAAGAGAAGCTAATATTCTTCTCCTTTACTTGGTAAACATCCTGAACAGCATTAAAAACATTGGTGCTTTTCTTGCATTTAATAATATTGTGGTGAAATTATTTGTGTGTATTTGGCTAGTTTTTGACTTACAACAGTTCATTTAGTAATCATTTGAAGTTACAATAGCACTGAAAAAAAACGCTTATGACTGTTTTTCACACTCACCACCACTGCAGCATCCCCATGGTCATATCATTAAAATTCTAACTGACTCATATTTATGACAGATGCAATGCCTGCAGTCATGAGATTACCTTTTGAGACCTTCTGACAAGCAGAGTCAATAGGGAAGCCAGATTCACTTAACAACCATGTTACTAACTTAACAACTGCAAGTGATTCACTTAACCATGGCAAGAAAGGTTGTAAAATGGGACAAAATTCATTAACAACTATCTCACTTAACAACAGAAATTTTGGGCTCAATTGTGGTCACAAGTCAAAGACTACTTGTATGTAGTCTTGTATGTGTATAGTGTAACACATGAAAAGAAATTTAGGACCAAAAATTGAAATGAACTTATGTACAGAAGGTGATTCCCATCAATGCATCTATCTAGCATTAGATATCACAATTCTTTAGTCGTATAAGATAGTGAAATTATGTCATACAATTATATTATAAATTTGGCAAACTTACGATCATAGGCTTAAAGACATTCAATTCAAAATGACCGCAGCTACCTCCTACTGTAACAGCAGTATGATTTCCCATCACCTGTGCTGCTACCATAGTTATGGCCTCACACTGAGTAGGATTTACTTTTCCTGTGAGGGGACAAACAAAGATTGAAATTTATTTACTAAACACTGCAGTATTTATTTTGCTCTTCGTTCTCAAATGGAACTTTGACAACCAAATAATGAATCAAACGTTCCTGTAAAGTGTAGTCTTGTAGTTAAGGTGTTGAACTAAAACAAAGATACCCAGTTTAAGGCTCATTCTTAGCTCATTGAATGATTTTAGGCCAGTCATTTTCACAACATATGCTGTGGGAATAAAGGAAACCTCCTTTAAAGCTGCTTTAAATTCTTGGATGAAAGTCAGGATATAAATCTAGAGGAGGCGGCGGAGGACATTTACAAAAATATTTTTGTAAATATTTTACAAAAATATTGGGTTGATGATATGAATCCAAATCTATTATGAATCCAAAACAATAATTTTAAATCCCTGCTTAATGCCATGAAAAGCAGAACATAGGTACTAGAAATAAAATAGCTGGACCTATTTTGGGATATTTTTGGTAGTGATTTTATTAAAAATTACAATTACAATTATAAAAAATTAATACAAACTGGAGAAAAATAGAAAGTACAGAAAAGAAAAATAGAAAAGAAAAAAATGGAGTAAAGAACTATATAAATGTTCCCCTCATATGAACAATTTTAGCAATTTATAACCTCCTAAAATATAAGAAATTATCTCTTTTTCCCATATCTTGTTTCAATCTATAAATAAATTTTCAAACCTTGTCATTTCAGTTCTGATCAACAAACGTCCAAAAGGATTACCAGAAATAACAACATTTCTATTTTAACCAACTTTATATTTCTTTATTTTGCTTTTAATAATCTTGATCTTTAATTCATTTAAATATACTAAAATGCCATTTTGTTTCATTTTTACTTTGTTCCTTCCCACGAAATTCTTCAAAACTTTCGCAAATCCATTATAGGAAAATTATCCAGATTTCTCTCTTGGTTTGTTATTTGCATATTCCATTTCATTATTAAGACATTAGCCACTTTATTCATTATAATGTATTTTTCCATACATTCTTGAGCCTGCTAGTTTTAAATCCACTTTTCAAATCAGTTTGTCTTATCTGGCAAAACTTGTTCCTCTTCCATAACATCTTTTAACACAGTCTGTTTATAGAAACAGGCACCCTTAAAATTAACTTTTGGGTCCATTGTTCAAAAATATATTTCAACATGTCAAATATATTTTGCTCCATTCTGTACTAGAAGTCAAATTTAAGTGTTCTTATTCTTTAAATGTAATTATTAGTTCCTACAATTTCCCTCTAGTGTCCAATCTTCATTCAAGTTCCATCCTACATTTTTAAAAAGTATTTTCTTTAAATATGGTACTTTTTAAAAAATATATTTTTCCAGAGGTAGGAATTAATTCCAACAACTTAAAGATGGCACCACTGATGGCAGCCTCAATGAAACGCTATTTAGTAGTTCTGATGTTTTCTATTATTTTCTGTGACTCTGCAAATTTCATACTCAAGAAATGAGATTTTGAATATCAGACAATGGACTTTAAATAACAAGCAGCTTTCTGGAACTGTTCCTCCCTTTTTTTCAAACATGGAGGAAATTCTCACTGAGAGAATGGGTTATCTCTTTCAGCATGGCAGTTAGAAAGAAGCAGAAGAGAAAAAAGAGAAGGAAAAGAAAGGTCAAGTGAGGCATTTTAAAAAGAGTCAGAAAACATGGCGTAAGAAAATATCCCCTCCTCTTGCTGTATTTAACTAATCTATATTCACTTGTAAGTAAGATAGATGAACAGTTCCTTTAAAATAGGAACAATTCAGACTTTTCTAATTCAGCAACCCTCTGCTTCATTGAAACATGACTGAATGATTCAATTAATGATAGCTGCTTGCAAATCCCAGGATTTCAGATTCAAAGAACAGATAAAACTGCAGAAACATCCAGTAAAAAGAAGGGAGGAGGTATCTGCTTTTATATTAACAACCGATGATATAAAAATGTCACTACATTTAAAGAAATTTTGTGATGTGGACTTAAAGACACTATTCATTATTTGCATATCCTATTACACTCCCTGAGAGTTTTCTTCATTCATCCTATTTGAGGTTGACATATTACCCCAAGCTTGCATAAACAAAGGATTGCAAATCTTAACTGACCAGATCCTGTGGGCTGAAAAGAGATATCCAGACTTCCTACTCATTGTATTAGGAGACTTTAACCTAAGAACTGCCCAAGATATATTCAGCATGTCAGCTGTCTACAAGAGGCAAGAATATCTTAACCACTGCTACTCTACATTAAAAGATGCCTATTGCTCTCTACCAAATGAGCCATGGTGGTGCAGTGGTTAGAGTGCAGTACTGCAGGCTACTTTTGCTAATCACCAGCTGCCAGAAGTTTGGCAGGCTCAAGATTGACTCAGCCTTTCATTCTTCCGAGGTCGGTAAAATGAGGACCCAGATTGTTGGGGGCAATATGCTGACTCTGTAAACCGCTTAGAGAGAGCTGTAAAGCACTATGAAGCAGTATGTAAGTTTAAGCGCTATTGCTATTGCTACCAAGAGTGGCTGTGGTCACTGCATGATTTTTACCTTGTAGCAGTTTATAGACAAAGACTTAAAATCATAAAACCAATAGTTAAACAGTGAAGTCTTGGACTGAAGACACAAAGTTAAAGCTACAGGCTTGCCTCAAATGCACAGACTAGAACATTTTTGAAGCGGCCTCATGCCTTTTTACCCAAAAAGATGTTGGCTGCATTGAAGTCAGGCTAGCTCTGTGTTTCACATGCTCAAAAAGATACAGAAAGGTTTCCCTTCATCCCAGCCCTCCCTGTGAGCAGTCCGTCTTCAGCCAATAGAAGTTTGTTGAGGAACTGAATGGAGCAAGTGTGAGTGATCTCTCCTTGTCCAGAGAGGAATTACAAAGAGCTAGTCTATCTGCTGGCTTCTCATTCGGCCAAGATCGTTGTTTCTTTTAACTGAGCCATCTTTAGTTCACCATTTCTTTCCTGGAAGTCCATAATAGTAACTTAAATAAGCTACAAAGAAGTAATAGAATGGTAATTTTGTTCAGTAAGTAAAGTTTAGTGGTTAAATTTGAAAATAATTACCTCTGAGCAATACATGGTACAAAAAATTATTCAATGAAGTTCTCCTCTCCAAAAGATCTAAATATATTTTGATTTATAATGCAGAATTTATAATAACTTTTAGTTTTACATTTTAAATTTAAATTTTAAATGTTTTTAAATTAAAAAAAAAAGCATTTTAAAAGTTAAGAAAAATATATTCTTGAAAGAGGACTTGGTTCACATTAACACAATTTCCTGTAATGGCTCAATGATGTTTATCACATTTACAACAGCTGAATATTTCAGTAAAACTAGAACATCTTTTTGAATACACAGTTTATTTTCTAACTGTAGAATAAATATGTCAAATGCTTTTCAGTTGTTTATACTTAGCTTGCTCATTCCCTTGTTTACTGGTTTTTCCTATGCTGTTAAGTGTCAACTCGCAAAGCATCCCTGGCCTATGGCAACTCGAGAGCAGGCCAGGGATGCTTAAGCATTTTACTTAAAGAAGCAAATCACTTTTTCTCACTTCATTCACACCTGAATTAAAACATTGTTAATGAAAATAAAGTATAGAACTAAAGTAGTAATAATTTGAGGATATACCATCTGGTATCCAACATTTCACAAAAGGTCCATGTTATCTATAATAGTTATTATGTTTTCTTTGAATAATTTGATGTCATTTTATAATAATTTGTGTCTACTACTACTACAGTTCTATATATTTAAACTTGTATCTTTTGGAATTATTAAATCTAATTAATATTATTCCTTATTCTTAACCAATTAGCACAAGATTAACTAAAAAATAAATATGAACAAGAGTTTACTGAATAGGGAGAAAATTGTTATAAATAATAAATGATTTTTAAATGTAACCATTAAAATAAATAAATTTGTGATCAATGTAATAACACATTTTATTCCACTTCAATCTATTCCTGTTTACTATGTATTGAAAAAATATGACTGATAACATATATAAAATAATATGTCAGGTTGTAATTAATAAATCAGTCTTTTACTATCTATCAACCCAAAGTTAATAATGAAATCTTGGCAAGGTTACCTGGCATAATACTACTTCCAGGTTCATTTTCAGGCAAGTTAAGTTCTCCTAAACCACATCGTGGACCAGATCCAAGAAAACGAATATCATTAGCTATCTTCATTAGGCTACAAGCCACAGTATTCATTGCACCACTCAGTTCAACCAAGGCATCATGAGCTGCAAGGGCTTCAAATTTGTTTGAAGCTGTAACAAAGGGCAAACCTAAGGAAAATAATGAAGTAAGATATTATTTGCATTCTTATCTATTCTTATGCACAGTTCAAACACTATATGATCAATACGTGTAGTCTATTTTATTTTGGTCTAAGTGGATGTTCATAAATAAAATTTGACAATCACCATTTTTAGAGACTAATATCTCATGGAAAAAATAAAGTTGGGAAAATAGATTGCCAGACTATTAGCATAGCATTTACTAGGTGTCTCCTAGTAGGAGCGCTAGCATTTAGAAATAGAAATTATATATTTTTCCATGAGTTCTCATTTTAACAAAATGAATGAAGACAGCTTGAAGAAGACTCTTACCTATGGAGATTAGGAAAATAATTTCCATTTCTTTTACAAGAGATAAGGCTGCTAGTATTACTGAGAGACTGTTTATTGACAATCAACTGAATTGGAGGAGTTTGAAAATTCCTTAAATAACAAAACTAAAACTTGACAGGAAGCCAGGATGTTACTGGCCCTGAGCAGATCTAGCTGATCTCCTTTGTTTAAACAGAGCAGGAATTCATTGATAAATGTAAAATTTCTGATTTTCATCTTAGGGTCTTGAAAGAATAATGCATCGTAATTAACCCAACTGGTTCCCAGCTAGTTTCTACAGATGTGAACAAATTAGTTTTTTAATACTCACGGAAGATAAACATCAAACTCAGTGACTCCCCCCCCCCCCCCCTATTCCAAAATATGCTTTTTTTTTTTTTTGGCAAAATGTGGCTGACAGAGCCATTTCTTTAACTGTGTTCACTGAGATTACTTTCTAATCTGGCAGACTGCTGAATGAATAAGCAATTATCCCTTCTCCAAGCAGATCAAGATGAACACTGGATCTCTGTCCCATAGGGATCTGGATAAAGCAAATAAGCAGATGTGGCAAATAATGCATATATGAATATGGGGTGGGTTTTTTTTTTGTTTGTTTGTTCTTTGGAGGAATAAAATAGGTCTGAATGACAAAATTGCTACAGTAAATCCAAGGCCATATTTATTTTTGAGATTAATTGGCCCTCCTTGAAAATCAGAACAAAGTTAATTAAGTTCAGAGTTTCTTGACATGATGGCCACAAGAAAAATAATACTGAAGAGCAGAATTTGAGGGTGCCCTTGATAACAAAGGGTAGTTGGCTCTTAAACCTCAAATGAGGGATCTACTGGTTATAAAAGGGCTTGTTACATGTGTACAAAGGAAGAAATTGCTTGAATCTGCCCAATTCTTAGAGACTCAAGAGTCATGGCCAGAGAGGCAAGTTATGCACCATGTTTATTTTCCTGGCTGGTGGGACTCTAATTACACATGAACGAAGTGCAAATTCATTATGTTGCTGGAATAAAAGTGGAGGGAGTGGAGGCTCAGTTTGACAGACTGAGACTTATAATAAGAATGATGAAGAGCGCCTTCTGAGCAAGGCAGAAGGATATTTTTAAAAACAATAGAGTTTGCATAGAAAATAGGAGTATTGAAGACTAGTAGACTGATAGAATGAAGAGAACCAGAAGATAGGGTATCAGTGGACCTGTTAGGCATGCCACCTGGAAGAAGATTCACAGACTTCTGTAAATAGATTTTTATCCAGAATTCCAGGAAAAGGAAAGAAAGAAGGTTAAACTGATACTGTCACAAGGAAATAAAACAATAATTACCCCACAGAAGAAAAACATGTCGTGATGATGAGTGACTTGCTGCTCACAGTTATGGTCTACAGGCAAGACATAACAATCAAAGAAAGTATGTTGTCCTCCAAGTGTACAGATTCATGACATGATGTAGAGACTGAGCAATTAATCAAATTTACTATCTACAATCTCTTTCTTCAGTTTTATACTTGAACAAATAATACTGCCTCCAGAAAAGTTGAGTCTACAAGAAACTAAGAAGGCAGGCAAAACAATTCAGAGCAGGTAGTATTTTTATCCATATGTCCAACTGATGGTCATGGTCTGAGAAATGGAGGAGTCTGGAGGTGAACTATTGGTCCAAGGGATATCATTGAGAAATCTTGGATTCCTGAACAATGATGTTAATTATCTATAAGAAAAACTTCTAGCAAGTGATGGGTTGCATATCACAAAGAGTAGGAAGAATGCCTTGGAATACAGGTTACTAAAGTCATCTGGACGGCTTTAGACTACATCTAAAGGAGATAATCATCTATAACTACAGAAATCCAAAGACAATAAATCCTACACAAAGAAGGAAGTAGTAAGAAGGAAAGGATTATATACTAGGAGAAGAAGCAGCTCATGTTAACAATGGCAATACTAAAGATTTCAATGATTTGTTTGTTTGCTTTGTTTATTATTTTTCACATTTCCCCCAGAGAGGGACAGAGTGGATTTAATAGATAATGTAAGAAATAATTAAGATTCAAGCATAATCAGTACAAAAACAGGAGAAATCAGAGATATCCCATGAGACCAGGCTGACTGCAGCAAGAACTCTCTGATAAACAAAAATGATGTTTTTTTAAAATTGAAAGAGGGCATATAACAAAAGTAGAATATTGGAAAATAATCCAAATTTGAAACAATGAGATCTTATTATGAATGCCAAAAACAACAGGTTCTTTGGGTAAAGGCAGAGCAAAAGAAAAGTCAAGTAAACAGTTGCCATACTGATTTGAGAAGATGGCAAAATAATGAAGGCACAGGGAGAAAGGCAAATTGATTAACTCTTGCCTTGCATCTGCCTTTTGCAAAATAAAAAGTGACCCAAGCTGACAAAAGTTACAGATCAAAATAGGTAAAGAATTGGTAAGAGAACATCTAGATGTTTTGAATGATTTCAAATCTCCTGGGCTGGATGGAATACTTTCCAAGATGCTAAAGGAACTGGTGATTGTTATCTCAGAGGCTAAACAACAGAAAAAAGTGAATAAAGATCTAGAGACCAAACTGTTTGACATCAGTATTTGGGAATATTCTAGAGTTGAAGTATTAGATGGACAAATCTATATGTGCCCATCATTATCCGAGCTGCTTAAAGGTGAACCTTCAGCAACTTCTCGGTTGTCTTTAAGGACAGATGCACATACCAGTGAACTGCAATAGTCCAGTACGGAGGTGATGAGAGCATAAATGACCGTGCACAAAAAAACAGATTGTTACTATTATCTATTTCACAATATTACATATTTAGGCCCTGATCCCAGCGAGCTTCTCCACTAGCGCTCCTGGGCTGGGAGTACTGCTGTCATCCATGGCTGCTACCTTGCTCACCTGACTACCGTGGTGCCTGCTTGGCTTCCCTACCATGCTCCTGATCGGCTCCTCCCCCCCCCCGCACCCTGGTTTTTACTTATCCACTCGATCTAGTGCAGCTGGCCAGAGTATCTTGCTATGTTGCTGCTACAGAAAATGCAGTCTGCGCTGTGCCGCTGCAATTCTGTGGCCACCCCGCCTCTTTTTGTGGCAATGTATTAATTGCACCTCAGCACACATAAGTTCATTCTTGATTTGCCATCACTGTTGGATGACTGTATTCATATTTATGATGGCTACAGTGTCCTGGGGTCAGATAATAAATTTTTATGTCCTTTTGACATAGTCAAAGTCTTATAGACAAAGTCTATGAGGAAGCCAAATTTATTTAACAACCATGTTACTAACTTAAAACTGCAGTGATTCATTTAGCAACTGTGGTAAGAAAGATTGTAAAATGAGATAAAATCCACTTAAATAAATGTCTCACTTAACAACAGAAATGTTGGGCTCAATTGTGGTTGTAAGTCAAGGACTACCTGTAGAACTACCAATGTTTGTTAATTATATTTTATATATTATATTTAAATATAATGATATAATTAAACCCTTTGGTTCTGATACTAACCTCACAATCAATACAAAAGCTGTGAGTGGTGCAAAGAGTTGTAGAAATATATATGCTCGGCATTATAAGACAAGAGAAAAAGACCTGCACATGGATTAGAGAATGAACAAAAGTATAGATATCATCAAGAGAATAAAAGCATAGAAATGGAAATAGGCTGGTCACATAGCAAGAAGAACTCATGGCAGGTGCACCAAGGAAATCATAAAATGCATCCCACTTGATAAAAAGAGACCTAAAAACAAGATGAATCAACAACATCAGCAAGTATTGTGGGCCCAATTGGCAAAAGACAGCTAAGAACCGTATTGGTTGGAAACATGCAGAAGAAGCCTTCATTCTGCACTGGATAGACAATGGCTAAAATGATGATGATGATTTGTACCTTCTGCTTCCTGTAGAAGAAAACTTCCTTTTCACACATGAAGGTGGCGTTTTCTCCAACTGGCTTCCTGAATTTGAGTGAGAATGGACTATGACATATTTCTAGCAATTAAGCTGCTATAAATATTGATAATATTTACTACTTCTACAATATGCCAATTTACAAAATTTAGCGAATGAAAACAAAAAGATATTAGACAGCAGGTTCATTTTCTTCTTATTTTCCATTCCCCACCCCCCATTTTTATTCTAGCAAGTTAAAGGTTACATCAAGATTACTTTAAATGTCTTTTCTTACTTGTAAGTGCAGCTATTTTAGATGCAACCTTCTCAGCAAAACCAATTCTTGTATTCAGTCCTGTGCCAACTGCAGTGCCACCAGCTGCCAGTTCATAGACTCTTGGCATGACTGATTTGATTCTTATGATACTATATTTAACTTGTTGCACATAAGCACTGAATTCCTTGAGAAAAATAAAAAGAAATATTGCAAATTTCATAGCATATTTTTCATGTGACAAATGTTCCTCACATGAAATTAGTATTTTTTTCATTGTATGAAACTGTAAAATGATTTGTACCTGGCCAAGGGTAAGAGGAACTGCATCCTGTGTATGAGTACGTCCAATTTTAATAATTTTAGAAAATTCCTTTGACTTGGCATCAAGGGCATCATGGAGCTTCTGTAGCCCTGGTAACAGCACTTCATGAACTTCCAATGCTGCGGCAATATGCATTGCAGTGGGAAATGTATCATTTGAGCTCTTTTAACATTAAAAAAACATCAAATTATTATCTGAATATTTCTTTCATGAGCTTCAGCTAAATTAAGAAATAGGCTTCAGAAAAAGACTAAGCATTTGAGGGTGGTTGAGAGACATGGTGGCAGGATAATGATGCAATAGTAAAGCTATTCTACAAAACTATGTTGCTGATTTTAATATTATTGATCATCTATCCCTAAGTTCAATTAAAAACGGGGTCCTTAATAACACATGTTGAACTAGATGTTGAAAAAAATTAGGAAAACCTTCCACCTTTCCAGGTACTGTCATGTACGATGCCATTCAAAACATTAATAATAACTCAAACTTACACACAATATGCAGCATTCCAGACAGGTACCAAAAGGTGCATTTTCAAGAGGCAGCAGGAAATCCTTGTTTTTCTTTGTAGACATTTCACTTCTCATTCAAGAAGCTTCTTGGATAAGAAGCAAAATGTCTTCAAACAAAATCCAGTTGCCTCTTGAAAAAAGCACCTTTGGGACAACCATGACCTGGATGACTGAGAATCTCCACAGATATAAAAGTTATATATTTTGTACCAGGAAATTAGTTCTCAGTCAATGAAATCCCAGCAATAATTGTTTTTATGCAACAATAAACATAATTTATTGAAGAAATGCAGCAAGCCATACAATGAAGTTTACACATGCACACACATGTTGAGGCACACTGAATATTTTATGCCCAGCTAAGCAACATCTATTTAATAAATACTGTGATCGACTTACAGATATTTCTGTTAAATCTGTTAAATTTGCTAATGTAGAAAAAGGAAAAATAAAAGGAAGAATATATTGACCTGGCTTTTATTAACGTGATCATTGGGATGCACTGGGTCCTTGCTCCCCAGTTTACCACCTAGTATCTCAATAGCTCTGTTGCTGATGACTTCATTAACATTCATGTTAGTCTGAGTTCCAGATCCAGTCTGCCACACCACCAAAGGAAAGTGATCATTTAATTTACCTTCAGATACCTATAAAACATACACTTTATTATTTGTGTTCCTATATAATATACATCAAGGAAAAACGTATTGTTTGAAATTGCAAGCAAATAGAAATCAACAAGAAACAGGCCAACCATAAACAAATAAATTCAATGTAATAAAAACAAACATATCCTAACAAAAAAAATGCAGGATAATAGGAGGCCTGTAATTTAAAATTTACATATAGTCCTTGAATTACAATAGCAATTGGGACCATAATCACCATTGCTAAGTGATATTGTCATAAAGTGCAACATCACATGACCACATTGCTTAGCAACAGTAATCCCAGCAGTCCGTTACCATTGTAACCATAGGATATGGGAGTCATTAAGCAGGAAGAAGGGGGAGTCCCAGCAAAGCAACGGAGTGTGTATGTGTACCATGGAGCAGAAGGAAGCATGGGAGGGTTGATAGGAGCCATGGGAGGACTCGCAGCAGCCTCAGGTGGGTTAGCAGCAGCCTCAAGAGGACAGTTGGAGACTGTGAAAGGGTTGCTGCAGGTGGGTATGAATACAGAATGCAGGCAGGTAGAAATGCTGCAGAATATGAGATCCCTGGGACCTGAAACTCCATAGTGGACTCCTTGGGAGAAAAAGCAGTGGGAGTGACTTACTGGGACAACGTGTAACCTTCACAGCTGGTTTATCCATTGACTTTGCTTGTAGGAAGCCAGCAGGAAAGGTTCAAAATGGTGCATTACATCATAATTGCAAGCCAGGCTGTTAAACAGTAATCATGTATGAGGGCCACAACTTTGAGGACTAATCAAAACTACATATTTTCAGTTCCACCATAACTTGGAACAATTGCTGACTGAATGGTTGTAAAGCTAAGGACTAAATATATAAGGAACAGGCATTAGGTACCCTGCATACATTTAGCCTGCAAGAAAGAAATCAACAAGGCACAGGAAGCTCAAGTTTAAAAGAAGTACATTTAAATTGGACAGTATGAAGAATTTGGAACTCTCTACCCTCAGAGGTGAGGTGGATCTCCACTGTCCCAGCCTTCAGAAAATGTTGAAGACCTAGATCTGAAAACTCACTTGGAACTCACAGAGAAACATGCAACTTTGGGATTGGTTAGCACCTTGAAGGTCCTTCCACACAAAGTTTACCGATCCAACTAAATTTTTAAAAATGCAATCAAATATTTCAGAAGAGCAGATCCTCAATTAGTTTATCAAATCACCACAAAGAATTTGCTAAGAAAATACATTATTGGCTTCTTCAATTTTAATCTTTTACCCTGTTTATTATCTTTAGCATCTTTGAACAGGTTAAGAGAATTAGATATATTAACACCTAACTGAATGGAAATTACTTTTCAAATACCTCACTTTATGCAAAAAAATAATCATCTATATATCAAAATTAAATACAATATTTCAGGATGTCATACATACATGTTATATCTTACCTCAGTTGCTGCACTTATAATGGCGTTAGCAATTTTAGCTTCAAGGCCATAATCCTGGTTTACTTCAGCAGCTGCTCGTTTTAAGATACCAAAAGCTCTTATTACTTGAACCTAAGATTTTCAAGAAAAATGTAAAATTTCACATATAAAATAATACATACAAAACATAGAAAACTATCTAATTGGAAACTATCTTATTTAGATGTTATCTTCTATATAAAGCCAACGCTCTTGTTTTGCTAAAAGTACTTTCTATTTTATTCACAACATGTTTATATAATAACACTATTTAATAGCTAGGTCAACATAAATTATCAATGAATATTGCTATTATATGAGAATTTTTTCATATAAATCAAAATAATTAGTGACTTCCTAGAAGAAAAGGCAAACTGGAGAGTAGTCAACAACAATGGTGGAATAAAGAACTAGCAAGTAACTCAGCTCTTCATAATTCCTTTCTGTATAAGAAGAGCATTTCAGATCACCCACAAATGGGATCCAGACAGTGGAAACAATAGTATAGTGATCTTGCTGAAACCACTATTGAGGTCTTTAAAAGAACACTAAGTTTGCATATTTCCTTTTCTAATCACTTTTGGAAATTGCTTGTTAACTACTTTTCAGCTATTAGGAATAAAATCAATTGTGGAACATTCTAAAATACAAAGATAACGAATGTATCTTAGAAGCTAGCATTGATCTATATATGTATTAACTAATTCATATTTAAGGATTAGGAAGGGTAACAGCACACTGGCCTACTTTCTCACTTACTTGCTTATTTATGAGGAGCAGACATAATTAGAAAACCTACTTTTTAAATCCTTAACTCAGAGTAAACGTATCTATACTAACTCTAAGTTTTATTCAGAGAATAAATTCAGGTTTGAATAACTTACTGGCATCCGTTCCGTTGCACCACCAATCTTAAAATTCATTGTAGATCTCACAGTCTGTGCACCATAATACTTGTCATTTGGAACATTGAGTTCACCAAAAGTATCATATTCAACTCTAAACGATGACTGACTAGCCTAAAAAGAAAAAAGCCAAATCAAATGAATGAAGTGTTCAAAAAAGAACACTTAAAGATACAAATAAATACTCGTTTTTAAACTGGCATGTATAAAAATGTGTGTCCCAATTAAAAGAATTCAAATATTATGAATCAATAAAGAGAAACAGAATGAAAAATAAGGTTGGCATCAAGCACATCCAAATGAAAGAAGTCAGCCACTTTCCACAATATGGTATTGACCGTATCATGTAAAAATAGTCTTTAAAGGGACTTGTCAGTTTGGCTTTTTATATCTCTGGAAGGAAAAGTATGAGAAATGTGAAACTTTGTGCGTAATAACTTAGCAACACAAGGTTTTCAAATATAAAATTTCATTCTCCTACTGCTTTCCAATAGTTTACAAATTGAGTATAAAGTTGAAATTTTTGCAAAAACACCAAAAATAGGGTATTTTCAGCCTGCTTTTACAAAAAAAAAAAACTTCTGGAAACTCTGTTAAATTATTCTCATTAGAAAGAGCATGTTTCAAACCCCTGAAAAAGTAGGGTTGGTTTTTCATCGCTGATGTATAAAGCCCTAAAATTAGGACAAAATTGAGGACGTTGCTATGGCAATGTCACATGCATTCTATTATTGTTTTGCCTTGTTTGTTTTATATAGACATCATTACTACTATTATATTGCATGGTGATATTGTCACTACCAGTTCAGGCACTTGAATCAGCAACCCTATCACCATAAGGGGCACATCTGATAACCGTGCAATACCAGCCACAGGTGGGTTTCTTGGTTCAGGATCCCAAGCCTGTAGTTTGGGTTCTTCCTCAAGGTTCCAAAGTCTTGTGTGGGTATCTGTCCGGTTCCCAAGCTGACAATTGGGCAGCTTATCCTAGGTTCCAAGCCTAAAGTGGGCATTTTATAGGTTTCCAAGTCGAAGTTCATACTATTCATATGAACTGCCGAATTCCAATGATTGCTTACTTATTATTGAATTTACACACCACGTTCTTTAGTGTTCCTTCTGGGAATTGATACTGTCGACCTGACGATGTAACTGAAGGTGCTGGAAGCACACTTTTTTTGTAAAAGCAGACTGAAAATATCCTATTTTTGGTGGTTTTACAAAAACCTCAACTTTACACTCAATTTGTAAACTATTGGAAAGCAGTAGGAGAATGAAATTTTATATTCGAAAACCTTGTGCTGCTACGTTATTACGCACAAAGTTTCATGTTTATCATAACTTTCCTTCCAGAGATATAAAAAGCCAAACTTTAACCTTTTTTTCGAGCAGCACTATTTTCAGCCAACTTTGCTCCAAATTATCTAGATGGAGATCGCTCATGAGAATGTTTTTATTATTTTGTTTAATAGAGCAGAAAAAGTTGTACAAGATGGCCAAGTTTTATTTCACTCAAAAAAATATTGCCGGAGGAGAAACTGGAAGTGTCACGGCGAGACTGGCTGGAAATTAGCAGGCTTCAATGAGCCCAGCAAAAATCCAGCCAAACAAGCCGCTGTCGGGAGGTCTTCAGACCGGAACCATCTTGTAGGGACGGTGAAGAAGGAGAAGCGCCTCGGACGACCAAGAGGAACAGGCAAGTTCCTCGGAAGGTTGGAGGCAGCTCTTCGATCCGGCAGCAGGGGCAGTGGCCATTGAAAACAACCGCTTTGAAGCTGGGAAAACCGGAGTAAGATTTTGTGCAGGAACGGCGTTTGGATGGATTACTGATACTGGGTGAATGATTGGCCAAATCACGGGTAAAGAAGGAATTTTTTTTCAAATAAAAAAAAACTTTATGGCAAAGAAATGAGCAGCTAATTGGCACTTGGAAATTTTGGTGGAGGGAGAAGAATAAAGATGAAGTCAAAGTACCAAAGCCCAGAAAAGAAAACTTTATATTTGGATCTAAAATTGGATTTGGAGAAATTAAAACTAATAAAAGGAAAGGAAACATGAGGAAAAGTATTTTTTAATGAAGATTTGAAATAATTTTGACAGTTTTAAAGTTTGAAGGAAGAACAAAGAGGAGGACAAAATATTAAAGCCCAAAAAAGGAAATTTAATGTGATACACAGGAAATGCCTGTACCCAGAAAATAATTGACAGAGAGTTGTGAGATAAGACAAGAATATAGTTTATTTAATTATTTCTTTGCAAAGGTCCCCCCCAAAGTGAGGGAGCAATTACCATCCTTTCTCGCCGTCTTTTATACAATTTTCAGGTTACATCTTACAGGATACAAGCATGTCCCTTGAGTACAATTTCAGACTTTATATAATACATGAACACATGATATTCCCATTATGGAAAGTCCCCATAATTCCAGTATATAAAAATACCCTACTTAAAAATATTGCTTACACGTGTATATCAGCATAACAAGTAATATCAGCATATACGCACTTCCCTTTCTTAACGAGGTCAAGCCGACCTGGACATCTCAAGAACACAACTTCCTCTAAAAACACAGGAACCACACATCCTGTTCTCACACTCCTTAAACTGTCAGCTAAATTATATACTCAGGTTATACAGAGTAAAATAAGGCCTTAACATGATTTTAAAATGGAGTAACTTAGGCTATATTGTTTTACAGGAATAACCCTAATTTCTTTATTTCTCACATTTAACAATTGGTTTAAAACTGAATTGGGATAATTAAAAACAATAAAAGGAAAAGCAATTTGAGAGAAAGTATTTTCTTTGTGGATTTAAAGTACTTATGTAAACTGGATATTTTGTTGTTTTGAGAATTGTGGATTGGAGAGAGACATCTGCTGGTGGAAAGAAAGCACGATTGACCTTAAAATTCAGGGAAATCATTAGTGACCTTGATTACGATAAAAGCTGTGAGAAATTTTAAGGAGTATTTGTTTTGTCTTAAACTGCTTGGTCTTGACTTCTAAAGGAGGTGGACAATAATAAAGCATTAAATTGGAGTGGATTGGACAAACATTTGTACTGGATATTAGCTGAAAAGAAAAAAGAGACTATATGGACCTAAATCTTAATTAATATAAGTTGAAATACCAATAATTTTTTAAACTGACAATATGGATGTGTGAGGAATTAATTGAGATGCTTAAAAATGTACTTGAAGCAATAAAGGGCAATAAAAAGTCAGAAATTTTGCTAGAGCATATAAAACAGGAAAAAGAGAACATAAATGTGAATCAAGAAAACAATGTTGAAGAAAGAATTGAAGGCAAAAAGTTAGATGATTACACTGGGATTTACAGTGGCAAAAAAAAAATGGATAAAGGGGAATATTTTCCCAAAAAAAAAAGCAATTTAAGGGAAGAGAAGGAAATGGGAAAAGATTAGGTAACAGCAGGGGGGGAATTAAGCAAGTGATGGACTCAAAAGCCAGAGAAAGGATTCAGGAGAAAAGATACAATAAATATAAAAATAAAAACGAAGAAGATAAGAAAACGGGATGAAGGGAGAAAATTATTAAAAAATGGAATTCTGGAGAGACCAAGAGAAAATAGTTAAAAGGGGAAGAATAGTGGAAGGAGGAAGGGAAATAAGGTATATATTAGTAGATCTAAGGGAACTATATTTATATTAGTAATTGTGAATGCAAAAAGTAAATATATATACTGTGTATTGTAAAATGGAACAGCAGATGAAATATGAAGTGGTAATTAGGTTTAATTATGAAAATAATTGAAATTAAGTTACAAAATAGCAATGTAAAAAAAAGTGTGATGGGGATTTTGAAATAATATGTTGTAAATGATAAGACAAAATAATTAATTGATGCTATAATAGAAATTAGGAATTAAGGGCAGATAGTGATATTGCTTATTATGTATTAAGAAGAGATAAGATACGATGTGGAAGATCAATTAAGTTAAAGGGTTTCAATGTAAACATTTAATAAGATGAAGTTTATTGTTTATAACCAAAAAATGTGATGGGGATTATAAGAAATATATTTTATAAATGGACAAATAAGATAAATAATTGAAGTAACGCGAAGAAATCAGGATTTAAAGGGCGGATGGTGATATTGTTCATATATTATGTATAAAAAGAGATTAAGATGAGGTTAAAAATAGAGGAAAAAGAATATCATGGCAGAAAATGAAATATGTAAATTGTATTTGGAAAAAACAAAAAAGAAGATTGGAATAGATTATAAAAATCAATATATAATTATGTTATAAGTTGTAAAAGGTGTGACCCGGTCAATACTCAGTTCATATAACATGTATGAAAAAGAAAAAATTAATAAAACTTGTCAAAAAAACAAAAACAAAAAATTGCTTGAGACATTATGTCTCAAAGTTGCTGGAACCTCAGAGTCATACTGTAGAAGGCTGCGGTATAGGGTCACACAAATGACTATATCTCTGCAAGTATTGTATCGGCACACATAACACTTTACCAATGGCCACTGGGGACATGAGTGCATGTTCACACAAAATTTTATCAAAATCTGTGATGGTCGAGCAGGGAACTTTTCTGAAATCAAACCACTTGACATGGAATTGACATTTGTCAGAGTAACAATGAAGATATTGGAGATGCTATACCTCCAACAGGTGGTGTCATACAGGCAACACTCTACGGAAACAAAAATTGGCTTTGAAAGTTGGACTTTGAAGAAGCAATGATAGAAAGAACACTAATACTTTTGACATGAGATAACATTACTGAGAATACAAAGGATAGGCAAGGAAAAAAAAGAATTATCAAAGGGGGATGTCGTTCGGGCTTTCTGAGCTTGGTTGTTTATTTGCAGACGTTCCATTACCCTGAGGGAAGTATACCCCAGAATGACAGTGCCAGAAACCCACAAAACAGTGCAGAGAATAAAACCAACTTTTCTACCTTCAGAAAAGAAGGGATTTGGGCGTGTTGCCCTCTTCCTAAAAACCCTCCCCCTAAGAATACCAAGTAGATAGGAAAACCAGGCAGACAGCTAAAAACTTTCACTAGAAATAACAAAGCAGGTCCTGAAAATACTTAAAACCTAAAAAGCTAAAAATAACTCACCAAGAACTCCTCTTTTCCTCTTCCCTGACAGGATTAAACCCCAGGATAGGAAAGACAAAGATGCAGAGATAGGATTAATCCATTAAGGCAGAAAGGCAAAACTCAAACAAACATCTTAATAAAACACACACATAAAAATCCCATCAAGCTACACACGCTTCAAAGGGAAAACAAGTATAAAAACCCATAGATTTATCATTTCAATCTGCGTGCAAGCCAGGAAAGCTCAAGCTGTGTCACTACTTTTCTTGGCTTCCTGAATTAAAGAACCCTGATTTCTGGCAGCTTGCTTTTGCGTCAATTCCTTCTCAGCATCAGTGACTGCTTCCCAGCTGGGGAACAAACCAGGAAAATTTCTTCCAACAACCCAAACTAGGTAACATCATCAGAGCTCTGAAATATTCCCATGAAAACAACCAAGCTCAGAGAGCATCAAGGACCCAGCATTTTAACCCTGAGCTACAAATATTTTCCTTCATTGATTATCAAACAAAGCAATTCAAAGTTTTTATTTGAGACACAAATCACTAGGTTCAAATTATCCCACTCTGTATATATTACATCAAATATACTATTTGAAGAAGTCCATAATGCTGGGGGGAAAAAGATAACAACTAACATCAAGGTGGATAGGCTCATTTACAGCAATGACCATTAGAAGATGTGAAGGACCAGGTTGGAGACAGATTATTCTGAAGAAAAGATATCTATATGGTTCCTAAGAATCAGCATTAACTTGATCGCATGTAATTAATTAATCAATAGCAAGAATCCCCACAGCTATCCTCTACAGCAGAGTTCCCCAACCTTTTCGGGTTGGTGGATTGGAGTGGGGGGAGGAAGAGGGAGGAAAGAGGCATGATTTTGTGGGAGGGGCAAGCACATGTGCGCATGCATGCACTTGCACGAACACCTGCGATGTTTGTAGCAACGCTCGCTCAAGTGGGGCTGCGAGCGCCTGCAAGGAGTCTTATGCAAGTGGGGCCGCAAGTGCCTGGGCAATGCGAGCATGAGTGGGGCCGCGAGCGCCCGCCATGAGGCTTGCACAAGGGGCTGCGAGTGTCCAAGACACTTGAGCAAAGGCTTGCTAATCGGCTGGCCACTCATGCGGCCCAGTGGCAATTAACCCGCAGCCCAGTAGGGGTCCATGGGTCACAGGTTGGGGACTCCTGCTCTATAGTGTTCAGTGTTTCCAGATGAAAGAAGAGCTGTAACAAATTGTAGTTTTTTTACTTTGCATACTATGTTTTAACCACTACAGAAAAAAACAAATTCAAAGACAAATTTCAGATCACTCCTGACATTAAGGAGAATTGCCAAAAATCATTATTCATTCATTCATTCAGTTTATGGCTGCCCATCTCAGTCAATGACTTTGGATGGCTTAGAGTTCATTAAATATATTACAGTCAATTTAAAAAAAAGAAATTAAACAATAAAAACAGTAAAACTAGTAAAAACATTAAAAACTTCCAATTCAAGACACACAAGAGCAAGAAGTTTTGGCTGTTAGTAATACAATAAAAAAATGGGACGCTTGGGACATTCAGCAAGCACCCCATGCAGGGGAATATAAGGAAACTTTAACACCTTGCAAAAGGCTAAAAGAGTTGGGGCCATTCTAATCTCTGAAGGGAGGATATTCCATATAGTAGGGACCACAGCAAAAGAAGTTTGCCTTTTGGTCCCCGCCAGCTTACATTCTTTGGCTGACGGGATCTGCAACATGCTATTCTTCTTAACTGGGTTGGATAAGTAGAGATTTTTGCAAAAAAGGAGATCCCTCAGGTATACAGAAGATATAACAAAAATATATGTTTTCAAAGTCATGGATAATTCAAGATTCTGGACAATCACCAGACTGCTAATTATATACTACTAATTAATGTTGGCCAGGCCAACAGAATTTCAGCTGACAAGCAGACAGTTAAGTGAGTCATGCCTGGTTTTCTGGCTTTTAGCATAGTTAAGTGAATCTCTGCAGTTAATAAATAAACCATGCAGTCATTGTGAATCTGCTTCCCCCATTGAGTTTGCTTATTAGCAGTTGGATGGGAAGGTCATAAATGGTGACCCTAGAATGCTGCAATAGTCAAAAATACAAGTCCGTTGCCAACCACTCAAATTTTTAATCATGTAACTTATGGGAATGCTGTCACGATTATAAGTGCACGGACTGTTAGTTGTACAACATTATTTTTCAGTGCAGTTTTAATTTTGAATGGTCCCTGAACAAATGGTTGTAAATTGAGGACTCTCGTGGTACCTCGGTACTTCGACTGCTTCAAAACTCGTTGAATTTGGTAGTCGACATATTTTGATGTGGAAATGTTGTCCTGGTACTCATCATTTGTTTGGTAGTCAATTTGCTGTGATAGGAAAAGGGGGACGGCTGCAGAGAATGAACAAGAAGTCGGCCATGCTGGAAAGTCGCTGACATAGGAAAAGAGACATAGAGAAGTCCTACCTGAAACAAAGGGTCATGTGAAAAGTCATGTGATTTGTTGGTACTCATCATTTTTTAGTATTCATCATGCTTCCTAGAACTAATTAAAGACGAGTACCAAGGTACCACTGTAATTGCATCTGAAGTTAATCCTAAAGAAAATTCCAGAATCCTGCTAAGAGCAACTTTAAAATAATTCAAGGTTACAAAATAGTGTACAAAACTTTCCAAATGCATACGCTTTCTTGATGACTTATTTCCAAATCACAGGTCAGAGTTTAAGCATTTTTTTCTCAACCAGTTATACATTTACTTTTAAATAATCAACTGGCCACCATACAGGATTGCACCATATCATTAAAGTAGGACAGAAGGTTAAGAATAAACACAGTTGCTTTTTAAATTGTTTTGTAAAACTAATTATAAATTACTTTGTTTTGCTATTACATTGTTTTATAATTACATAATTATGTAATTAATTAAACACATATAAATCAAGAATATTTTTGTGTCAGATAATATATTGCAATACACAAGTATATTACAAAACCAAGCAAGATTTTGTTTTGCTCAGTTATAACATGCAGATTAATTTTGAGGTAAAAGTAATAGAATATAGGAAGTAATTCAGTCAAAATAAATATTACCTAGATTTAAGACATTCCTTTGTTGCTTTGTTATTAAAAACAGCTTTAAAAACTGTATCCTCCTCTGTGACATGTATGTTAGCAAGGATGGAGATTAAAGTGCATGTTTGTTTGGGATGATTATGCCATACAGACTTTGAATATCCAATTCTGCATCAAAAAAGGGCAAATAGATTCATTTGCCTTTTTTTAGTTTTTTATTTTTTATTTTTATAACAAACATTACATCATTCATTGATCAGTGTGTCATCTGGGTACAAATTTTTTGTGTCATCATATTTAAACGCTTACCATCATTTTATTTATTTATTTATTTATATATGTATATATATATATATATATATATATATATGTATATATATATATATATATATATATATATAAACTTTTACATTTCAATTTAACATCTCCTAATAAAATATTTTCCTTCAAATTTTAGTTTTATACCACTTTTTGTCCACATTCATTTTCTATCCAATAATAAAATTGCCCCCATATGTTATAGTATTCATTTGCCTTCTTAAAAGCTAATTTGAAAAGTCTCTGATTGTAATTAGAAATTATCAGATTCTAATTACTGCACTTCTTATTGTTTCATAGAAGAAAACCAAACCAATTTCTGGTGGTCCACAAGAAAATTTTGGTGGTCCGCAGAAAAATTATTTGTATTTTTTATATTGCACTAAATCAGGAGTCCTCAAACTACAGCCCCTAGGCTGAATACATGTAATGAACATTTGTGTTGCTGCAGAGAGTCTTCCCCTTCAGGGACTTTTTGTGCTGGTCAGAGGGGGGCAGAAATTCTAACTTGGGGCCTGCCTCAGCCTCCTGGTGCGGGGTTTTGGGCAAAGGCTAGAGGGAAGTGCCGCTGGTGGCGAAGAGCTGGAGGGCCTTGTTCCAGTGGGACTGCATCATGGCCTGGAATTGGCTGACCATCTCAGCCCACTGAGCCTCCAGGCGCCAGTACCCAGCCTTACACTCCTGCAGGTCTTCCCTCTGCTTGGAAAGCCTATGTTCATAGTCCTCAGTGAGGTGCTTCTGCTCAAGCAGATCCAATTTGAACTGAGCTGTTTTGCCAACTCTTTCTTGTGGTGGCTGCTTAGCTTCAACAACTGCTTCCTGTTCGGGTCCAAAGGAGCCTGGGCGAGAAGGCGAGGAGTGGCTGGGAGGGGAGGGGTGAGTAGAGGCCAGAGAGGCACTCCTCGACATGAGTGACATCAAGTTGACCACGCCCACCCAGCCACATGACCACCTAGCCACGCCCATCCAGCCGGTCATTAGGCAGATCATATTAGTGGTCTGTGGAATTTAAAATTATGAATTTAGTGGTCCCTGAGGTCTGAAAGGTTAGTGACCTCTGAACTATAGAATACACACAAAAGATAAACAACATATTCGAAGGAATAAAATTAATAAGGGAAGAAGAAAATAACAAGCTACCCTTCCTGTATATTCCATCAGCAGAGGCACTGATGGCAAATTAGAAATACACTTCTATTGTAAAACTAGTCACACTTAGTGCTCACACTAAGTAACAATCCTACTTCCCACAAGAGAAGAATACTATTTAGATAAGCACAAACAAATCGCAACAACAAGCTCTACAGGAATGCATAAAACCAAGAAAATCCTTCTTGAGTACATATGGGTTAATATAAACTTGTGCGACACGTTTCCCTTTCTCCCTACTCCGCTAGGCCACTAAGCCGCAAAGGCTGGGGATCACTGATCTAGTCTATTGAAAAGAAGGAATAGGGGTAACATGATAACAGCCTTCCAATATCTGAGGGGGTGCCACAAAGAAGACAGCATCAACCTATTCTTCAAAGCACTTGAAAGCAATGCAAGAAGCAATGGATGAAAACTAATCAAGGAAAAAAAGGAACCTAGAACTAAGAAGAAATTTCCTGACAGTGAGAACAATTAACCAGTGGAATACCTTATCCATTGAAATTGTGGGTATTCCATCACCAGAAGTTTTTAAGAAGAGATTGGACAGCTGTTTGTCTGAAAAGGTATGTGGTCTCCTGCTTGGGGGGCGCTGGACTGAAGAAGCTCTGGGGTCCCTTCCAACTCAATTATTTTATTTTTTTATTCTTTTTCTATGATCATGTGTATCCATCCCATCAAGCCCAAAGAAAGTCCAGATTGGTATAGGATCACCTGCCACGATCAGGGAGTTGGAGTAGAAGGCATCCAAGGTCCATTCCATTCCAATCCTATTATTATATGTTCTAATAAAGATTACACATTTTACAAGTTTTCCAGCCTTTTATTTTATCGTGTGTAATTTCTCTGAATTAATACTGAATGGAGAATCTACTATTATGCGTTACAGCGCTATATACATAACATATACTTTATATATATCTATTCCAAGAAAACCGGGTACTTGTCAGGGACATACCTTAAAATTACAGGAGAACCAGAAAAAGCCGATCAGTAAAAGCATCAGAAAAAGGACTGACTTGAAATCACAGAATTGGAAGCGAAAAGTTTTATGCAAGTTTTTAGAAAAATGGCAATCTTTTCCGAATATTTAATAAAACTTTTTCTGGAACACAGCAAGTGAAAGGGAACTCAGGTTCTTCTCTCTACCTCCAGTTAATGATTCCACTTCAGTTAGAATCTGACTCTGTAGAACTTAAATCCGTATTTCACATCTGCACTTCAGAGCAATAAATGTAGAACTGCTGCTCATGATTTGGAAAAGTAAAATACTTTTACTGAAGTACCAAAAATCTGCATTTGTCCATAAGCCACTATATAAATAAATTAATATTTCAAGATCTTTTATCTTGAAATTAAGCACAATTGGCAAGTATCCCCTCCCTCCTCATCTGAATACCATTTCAATCACTGACATAACTTTAGATAGCTCACAATACATACAAAATTTAAAACAATCATTAAAAATACCAATAACAAAATATTACATAATCATATATTAAGGATACTAAAAAGTATTAAACCACCAGAATAGACTATCAAGAAAAATAAAGGGCTTGCAAAAAGTGTTGATTCCACAACTTTATGAAAGTCCAATGAGGTTTAGGCTATTAGAACTTTAGGGAGATACTTTTCCACAGAATAGCACAGCTACAAAAAAAGATCTTCTAGATTGCAAAAACTGACAATAGCTGGAGCGTGGTATGTCCAACAGTACTGTATCTTACTGATTAGGCAGAAATAGTAAGAAAGACAGTCTCAAAGGTATCCAATGGCTAAAGCATATAGTTTTATAGATGATAATCAACAGTTTGCACTGCATCTGTTTTTCCAATGATAATGCAAAATTTCAGTTTAGTTGGAAGAATTTTGCATGCATCTCTTTAAATTTTATTTTCTTCTTTACAATGCATTTTACAAATATGTCAAGGTTTTTAAATGTTATACATTTTTCAAAGATATATTCTACTCAATTTTAACATATTTACAAATTTGATAAACACTGCATCTAAATAATTAATGAAAATGTTACAGCCACAAATACTGCAGCTTTCTAATTGATATTTCTCTTCAATTTGTTGAAAACTACTGATAAACACTCAGAATAATTTTTGAGTCAGTTATATATTCATTACATTAGTTTGCTAATCAATATGTTATGGGTAATCTGTTAAAAGTTGTATCAAAATATATCTACATAATGCTATCTTAGAAATCAATATATTTCTGACCTGTTCTAAAATCCTTCCAAGCTTAGTATTTGCAATTTCCCTTCTCCCTCTTTTTTCAGAACAAGAACAACTGCTCTCTTGCAAGTTATTTGGTATTTCACCAACTCTCCAAGGGTCAGTTTCTCTCAGCAAAAACTAGAACACAAACAGCCAATACACCAATAAGCAGCACCTATATAAATATTTTAAATAAATAAAGATGCAGGTCTCTGATGGCTGAATTTATTGCAAACTACTCAAGATAATTATGATAGAATTTCAATAATTTCTATATATCAAATAGAAGTTATTATACTGTACAGAAATAAAATCTTCTCATCCAGGCAATGCAGTGGAGTTACTTTTTTAAAAACAGCATTATTGTCTTGTCCCACAGGTAGAACAGAATAGAGTAGAATAGAATAGAATTTTTTATTGGCCAAGTGTGATTGGACACACAAGGAATTTGTCTTGGTGCATATGCTCTCAGTGTACATAAAAGAAAAGATGCGTTCATCAAGAATCATAAGAATAATAGGTAGTAGACTAGCCTGGTTTCAACCTACTTGCTTCTTTTATCTTGGGAAACCTAACACCAAAGTTCTTGAAGATTTAATTTCCCTTAAAATGTCAGCTTTACACAAACATAATGCCCTTGTTTCATTTTATTCAAAGAGCTCCCTACTGGTTAATAGTACATCTCTCACTCGTTGGAAGATAAAGCTATCAAGAAAACAAATCAAGAATTTCCTGGAAGACTTTGGCAGAATTTATCTCCAAACAGATGTGAATGAAGTGTATTAAAAAATACCCCCACTACCCAGAGTCATTAGTTTGAGATGGGAGGCCATCTAAACGGCATGTATAAATAAGTCATACCTCTGAAGTTTGTTTCTGAAAGACATCATATACATTTTCTTTGATTAAAGGAGCAACAGCAGAGTCACAAGGATTTTTTTTAGCATTAGTATATTGATAAGAATGGCATGAACTTTGTAAGTTCATGATTTTGATTTTGCATCGAGTGGTATGACACACATTCGTATTTTAGAAACCACTTCAACAATAAAGGCTTTCCACCATGTGTACTTCGGAGGCGTTCAACTTGATGGCGTCATTTCCTCATCCTTTTCTGCAGTATTAACCTCGTCAAGGAGGAGTCCAAGTCACCCTCTACCCACGTTGTCTTCCCTCTTTTCCTCCCCTAACATTAGCAGCCAGGGCACCCGGAGACTATCCAAGGTCACCTTCCAGCATTTATTCCGTCCCCCTTCCCCGACACAAGTAATCACGCGCTCACCATTCCTCGTTGCTGGGGCTGATTGTAGAAACACCTCTGCGGACGAACGCTTCGGAACTGAGACTCGACAGCGAGGGCCACACAATAAAAACGGCGGAAAAGAGGTAGCGAGCGATACATGGCGTCGGAAGGTGGATAGCTGAAAGGAGGAGCCAGGAGACGGAGTAGAGGCAGCCAATGGAAGTACCCAAAAAAAAAAAAAATGAGGAAAGACCCGGACTTGAGAAAACTTCGTCGCCCGCAGAACCAATCAAGATCGGGTGGAGTTGAAAGCGAGCAAGAAAATAAAACCAGTGACACAGCGGCGTGGAAAATAAGAAGGAACACCGAGTTGGGCCGAATGAATCTCCCAACACATTTTTTAATAAATGCGCATGCTTCCCTTGCAAACGAGCTTCCGTAGAAGTTACTTTGATGCCCTTTTAATATGTCCTTTTTGGAGAGGCAAATCTATTTTTGGTAGCTGTGGGAAAAATCGGAAATAGGATAGGTTTTCACCTATAACTACTTACGCAATGGCAACATTTCTTCCCCTTTCCCATGTCTCTTTAAAACATCATACTTGAGGAATTTTATTATCACCTGAAATTTTTCAGATTAGTAACATGATGGCTTAAAAAATGTATTTTTATTTATTTGTATTCCACTTTCATTTTTACAAATAACTCAAACCATTGTAGAAAGTTAGCACCTCACCCCTCTTCTAGAAGAATGAAATATTTTGAGAAATATTAAAAAGGCAGAATGTTATATTTCCCGGAGAAACATGCTCTTGGAAAGCAGCCCCCACCTTTCTTAATAGCCCTCAGCAGATGTCAGTATGGTGGAACAGGTAACAAATAAAAATAAAATAATAAATACAGTAAACACAGATCCAGCTAGATAGTCACTGAAGGGCCCTTTTTGTTCTTAATACTGTAAGAGAGAAATTACTTGCAATTATATTCAGAACACAGGCAGGGACATTCCTTTCCAGTAGGATGCTTACTTCAAGGCCTCTCAGTTGTCACAGATAAGAACAGTCTACGTGATTTACACCTTGAAGGTCAGAGTAACAGAGATGTCCCCTTTGTTGTTTCAACAAGAGATAATTTGAAAAATATGCTTCAGTAACTTTTTAGAAGAATTATTATAACTGTTCTGCAAACTCTGTAATTAGGAAATGTCAATTAAAAATGATAAATGTATATGACCATATGAATTGCTGAGTTAACAGAATCCTTTGTCTAGAAGGGTATAAAACCATTGTACCTAGTTTCTGTCTTTGTTCAACGCTTCATGTACAGAGCCTTGAACCTATTGTGCAATATATAAAATTTGTCTCTGATTAATCTAAAAGTTGTGTTTGTCTTATTAAATCCACAACATCAGCATTTAAGAGATAGCTAGCTCTATTCATAAGCAAATATCCTCACACAAGATCTAACACAGGTAGGATTAGCCCTCAGCCACAATAGGAATTGCCCAAAGCCCTTTCATTGCATTGAAGGATTATATGAATCAATATTGGCTATTTGCTTTTATTATGAATTGCTTATGCTACTATATAATTGTTACTGATTAAACCAATATTTGCTGTTTGCTTCTGATATGACATATCATTTATTAGGAATTAAGCTCTGCTTCTGCTTATATTATTGTATTCTGCCAGAAATTAGTTGTTAGGAACTAATTCTAGCTTAATAAATTGTAACCTTAATATTGGTTGGCATTAGTGCAAAGTTTGTTATCTCACTGCTGTGTCTCACTTCTATTCTTCGCTTCAAAGCTAGGCACATCCTTGAAAATATAGAAGAAATTGTTACCCAGGAATATCAGGCTCCATAGATAAAGGAACCAGAGTAGGGAGTTTTCCTGCCTCATAAATTCTGAATCCTGAAAGCATTTTGCTGAATAAACAACTTGGCCAAAGTGGGGAGGGGACTGCCCCTACACAAGGCTATAGGAATGCTCCATAGATAAGGTGGACAGAGATAGGGACCTGAACAAAGAAGGCTTTAAAGATCAAGTTGGTAACGAACCTTTGTCTCTGATTAGGTAAACTTTGTTTCTATCAGTGTAAAATGTATATAATACTTTGAGCCACTCTCACAGAAGTGTGGCTATTCCTTATGTGCATTTTATTTGTATGTTTTGGATATAGTTTTGTCACCCAGCTTTTGCTATGGCCATAAATAAAAGCTGATATTTTTTGCAAGCCTTGTGTGGAGTCTCACTCTCTTTGGCAACTCAGTGGAATTGAACCAGATGGATATTTCTTCCAACACCAGAGAACATATCCAACTTTTCTATTTTCCCCACAATAATGACTTTATGTGGTGGGTTAAGCTGAGAGGTTACTAGCTTTTATGGCTAAGGTGGAGCTTGAGCTCACAGTCTCCCAGTTTCTTCCCTGATGCCTTAACGACTAAACCTAATTGGCTTCACTGTTTCGTATCAAAATCTTGCATAAGAAAAAGAGCTGCTGATAGAAACTTCTGCCTTATCGTTCAGAATTTTTTTTGCCTACATATTCTTCTAAAAATATCTACAATGTTCTCCAAACATAATATTACAACGTCTACTTGATTGTAAAGGCTTTTTGTCTTTTTTCCCCACTTCTAGTAATAAAGCATTTCATGTTATATATGCACTTTATGTTTTCATAATAAGAAATTCCATAATTTATTCTAGTAGCCTTGGAAAAATTCAGGATATGGTCAACCATCAGGTACATCTCTTGGGATCCATTGCCTATGTGTGGACTTCTCCCATGTTTCATCCAGGATAATTGGGGCAGACTAGCTAGAAAGCTTATTACATTCTTTTCTTTTTTGCTTTTTAAAATTTGATAAATATTTGTTCAAATTTGAAAATTATTACTGTTTGATAACTTTGAGCTAGCTCAATATATGTATTTCGCACAAAATATTTTGAATGTTGTGTTCTATTTTCTCTTATCTTTCTTGGTGACCTAAATCTATCTCTTATTAATTGGACCCTAAACGAATATACAACTGAACCCATACATGCAACCCTGTACAATGCTGTAATTAATCTGAGACTAGAACAACTAGTATCTAATAACACTAGACTCAACAACTGCCTTGATCTCATCTTCTGCAACAATTTAAATTCAGTTTATGGATTACAAATAAAAGAACCCTTTTCCAACAGTGACCATAGCATGATAGAGTTTTATCTCAACTTACGTCCTCACATAATGATGGAATCCCAAACTTTAGGAATCCCAACTTTAGAAAAGCCAACTATGATCTCATAATTAATGACCTTTCATCTCTTGATTGGCAAACTCTATTCACCGGCTGCATCACTGCCGAAGACCATTATAAGATTTTTTTGCAAGAAGTCAAAAGAATCATCAAACTATATGTATCACTAATACCGTAACTCCCAAAACCAGGAAAAATAAATTACCCATAACAATAAAGAAGCTTCAGACCAAAAAAAACCCGCTTTGGTGAAAAAACAAAACTGGCTACATAGCCAACTTCAAAAGTCGCTACAAAACTGTATGCTGACAGATAAAGGCAGAATGCATCAGTTATCACAGCAAATGAGGAAAACCTAATATGTGGTAAATCCACCCGGGCCTTCTACAATTTCATAAACAACAAAGTTAAAGACTCAAGATCCATCCCATTTTCTGCAATCAAGTTGGAATGGTTTACCGTAAGTTTGTATCTATTGTGTGCTCTTGTATTGTTTGGTTGAAGCTGAAGTATTCATTGACTGGTAGGATTATTTTAGCAGATTATAGCAGATTATTTTATATACTATGCTTAGGTCGGACCGAAGTCGGCAAAATTCTAAGTTGTCTACGCCCATAATTTAAAATCTGGTGGTAAAAGCTATTTTGTTGCGAGCAGAGGAGTGGACTTGTCTCGTGAAATATCTCTGGACTCATTTAATTGTATTCATGTCCCATATGGAGTGCTGGTTCCAGACAGATGAGCTGTATTCAAAAATTGCTCTAGCAAAAGATTTGTATGCCTTAGTTAGCAGTCCAATATGAGTTCCAAAGTGAGGCTGTCCATTTCTGCACAATTGAAGATTTTACATAACACTTCTTCCGAAGGTGTTTCTTTACTCTTCCATTTCTGAGCAAATGCTATTCTTGCAGCAGTTAATATATGTAATATTAGGTAGGTTACATTTATATTGTATTTACCATCTGTCATTCCCAATAAGAAAAATTCTGGTTTGACTTCTATTTTAATCGTTAGAATTTCTTCTAGCCAGCTTTTTATTTAATATCGAAACTTTTTGCTTTCGAGCACTCCCACCACATATGGTAGTAGGACCCTGGGACCACCTCACATTTCCAACATCTTGAAGAATATTTTGTTACTAATTTTTGCCAATCTTGTGGGTGGGAAGTGCCACCTGTAAAACATTTTATACAGGTTTTCTTTATATGAGGTTGCCAATGTAATTTTAATATTTTTTTCCAATAGATTCATCCAATTATCCAAATCAATACTATGATCAAAACATTTACTCCAGGTTATCATAGTCTCCTTTACTTGTTCTTCAAGCATGTTTTGTACTAATAGATAGTGGTTTAATTTCCTTATGGCCTTACTCTCCGTACTTAGTAAAATTTTATCCAATTCTAGCCTATGTCAGGCCTGCCTCAGTTCAGGACTCTAGGAAAGAAAGACTCTCGACTCCATTTGGTTGAAGTGATAGGGTCTTTTACTAAGGTTGTGGTTGCAGCAAAAAAGGCTAGATTTTATTTTCCCATTAAAAAATGTTACATTTTCCCCCTTTCCGTTCTTCCCCCTTTGACAGTCCACTCCTGTCCAATGGTATGCCATTTAGGCCTGTTTTGGGAACAGCTTGAATGGTTGATATCACTTGGTGTGTTGACCAGGAATCTGATAATGGTATTGACAGCTGTAAGGGAGCATATGTATGGATGGCACCGTTGCCTCAGCAGGCCTTCTAGATCATGAAAATTTCCTTGGGAAACACCCAATGTCCCTGAGGTGACATCAAATGTCCTTGGAATACCTCCAAGGGAGGATGACCATTTCTCTTGTGGATATTTCTGTACTTCTTTATCTTACCTAGACTGGAACGTGCCAGTCCTTCTGGGTAATGAAGTAGGTAATTTAGCAAATAT